TATATATATATATATATATATATATATATATATACATGTGTGCGTGTGTGTGTGTATGTGTGTGTGTGTATGTATGTATATGTATATATATGTATATGTATATATGTATATATATATATATATATATATATATATATATATATATATATATATATATATATATATATATATATATATATATATATATATATATAACACTCAGAGAGAGAGAGAGAGAGAGAGAGAGAGAGAGTGAGAAGGAGAGAGAGAGAGAAAGAGAAGGTATAAATGGGAATAAATATCCTTATAATAGAGATGAATTCTCACTCAAAACCTTTTCTACATTTGTTGCAGTGAGTACGATTCATATATATATATATATATATATATATATATATATATATATATATATATATATATATATATATATATATATATATATATATATATATATATATATTATACACTATTATACAGTTCTCGGTCTATTCTCTCTCTCTTTGTAAATTAATTTCTCTTTATAATAATATACTGCTATGACTTTGGGTATTGTGTCTCAGTAATGAATCGTTGAATGTCCCAAAGGATCGTGTTATTGATATAGCTGAATATCAGGAACTTTCGGAATTTGTTATGATCATCAATGTCTTTCTCAGTTTAAGGTGTAAGTAAAGATTTATGAATAATTACTTTTCTTTATTAACAACAACAACCGTGGAGCCGTGACCACGCCGCCTGCTTTACCCGTCTTCTAGTATAACAACTATAAACTTAATTACATTATGTACAACAAGCACCATGACAGTATAAAAAATAAATAGTTCGTGAATTGTACAAAGGAATCTTTGGCACCTCTGTGTGGCAACAGCAGCGTGCTCATGTAAGGCCTAATCCGACGCTAGGCCTGCATGACTGTGAAGATGACCATGCGCACGTGACAAAGGGCGTGACACTTGCATCACTCTACGACGAAGGAGTGACGACCAAGTGACGACGATGAGGATGACGATGGTGACGATGAGGATGCGCGCCGCGGGTCGGGAATGGGGCGAAGGCTGACTTTGGGCGACCCGCTACTGGCACTGGTGAGTGGAGAGGGCACGCCCGGCCTCTAGAGGTTGGCGGGCACCTGGGGCGGGAGGGCGTAGCTGTAAGGGTGGATGGGCGCTGGTCTCGAGGGCGTGGTGGGCAGCGACGAGTGGTGGCTCGCGGGCGATCTCAGGTAAGGGGAGTACCCGCTGTACGCGTCTCTGGTGGCGGCGACGGCGGTCTTGTCAAGCGTCGGCGTCGGCAGATGGGGGGCGCGGCTCAGCAGGTACGGCGACATCATGTGGCTATAGTACAGGTATGGGTACGGCAAGGAACCACCGGGCATACCTGCTGGGACGCCGCCGGGCAGACCTGTGGAGTAGGTGGGCGAGGGCAGGCAGGGGCGCGGGGCTGCCGGAGACAGCATGCTGGCCTCGGGGACTCGGATGTCGGCTGGACTAGAGGTCTGCTTTTGGGACTCGGCCACGGCTGCTGCCATGAGGGACGCCGCGGACATCAGGGGGGACACAAGGGACGTGGGCGGCTCCTCCACCTCGGATTTGATGAGCTGTGGAGGCGGCAGGAAGGGCGGGGGCGGAGTGGGGGGACTCTCGACGTCGACTTTCTCGTCCGAAAGATCTTTTTCTACCGACATGGAGGACGCTGGGCGGTCGTCGAGGTCGGATACGTCGAGATCACCACTGTCAACGCTGTTCAGGCGTGCTCGTTTGTCCAATACTGCTGTTGAAGAAGGAGATACTTGGATAAGTATAAGCAAGTAAAGGTATATAGGAGACTTAATAAAGCATGGGAATATATAAAAAACAACGAGACATTTCCAAACAGAGATAAAAGAAAGAAGCACAGGATGCTTACCATCGTCATTATCGCTGGTCGTCTTCTCTGGCGATGAAGTGAGCTCTCCGCTGGTCGGGGAAGCTCCGCCGGACCGCTTCTTGGAGCGGAGCTGGCCGTTCTCGCGGAAGCCTTTCGCGAAGGGGTTGTTGTCGATCTTGAGCTGGGTGATGCGCTCGTTCTGGTAGGCGGTGACGGCCATGAAGCAGGTCTGGGGGAAGGCGAAGGTGTTGAAGGCGGCCCAGTGGAGGGAGACGAGGTCGGGCGCCGCCACGATGTGAATCCTGGGCTGGTACTTGTGCATGGAGTTGAGGATGATGTGACCCTGCTGGTCCAGGTTGTTGTTGGTGAGCTTGAGCTTCTGGAAGCTGATGGGGTGACGCATCCACTGAGCTCCTGAGGCAGGGGAATCGGGGTGGATGTAGAGGCGACCTGGCATGTGGGGTTCGGCCTTGCCAGCCACGACCCATTCCTTGCCCTGGAACTTGTAGCGGGAGTCGTCTGCGGGGACGATGTCCATCAGCACGAAGTATTTTGTGTTGGGCTCGAGACCACTGGCGGACATCTTCACTGTTGGGAACATACGCCTGGAATAAAGAAGACAACACATAAGTATATCATAAAAGAAACAACAATGCAATAATATGTACAGATGATAACAAAAATCAAATGATTATTTTTTGCATGGATTTTAAAAATTGTCAAATAAAAGTGTACATCCAGTCGAACCACGGCACTTCAACTTCGCGAGAGAAATAACGAAGATAAAAACATAAAACGAAAAAAAGAAGGAAAATCCTTAATCGCCTGCGGTGGTATTGACAGAGTAAAGTGACAGCCAAACATTTAAAGCTCAAACACAAGAATACCCGTTTGTGAGACCCGCCAGAACCTCTGTACACTAGCTCAAATACGGCCCTTTTCCTCTCCTCTTACTGAACACACTATCAGATTTCCTCCCGCCACCTCTCGTAGATGCCCGACCATTTCAGCCCTTTGCCCCGGGTATCACGCCTGCAGCGGCCTTGGGTATAATGCTATTTACAGGGCGGGCACGGTTTGGATCAATGAGTATGATTTTGCCTGATACCCATCGCTGTTGACATTGGCTGGATGGCGTGTGAATTTGATGATGATAACCTTATTGTGAATTTATGATTATTATGTATTCGGGATAGGCAGTGCTGAGTGCCCTGTCTCTACTAAAATATGGGATATATTGCTATAAAGGACTGAGGCGATTTTCAATTAGAGAGAGAGAGAGAGAGAGAGAGAGAGAGAGAGAGAGAGAGAGAGAGAGAGAGAGAGAGAGAGAGAGAGAGAGAGAGAGAGAGAGAGAGAGAGAGAGAGAAAGCGAGAAAGAGGTACAATAAAGCAGCGGCAGCGGATGCAAGAGCGGGTAGCGGCGGCGGTGTCGGCGGAGACAGAGCGACGCCAACCGACAATTACGGTCGACGATCCTCCCGACTTTCGCACAGCCGCCGTTTTTGCCCCATGGCCCTAAAGGATCTCGTTTTCTGAACTTAATCATCTCAAAGTCATTTTTCCCTATTGAACTATCTATCTTATAAGGCACAAGATACACGAATGCATATCTCACTAGAATATTCTGCAAAGTTAAAAGCGCGCACTATCGGTGCAGGAACGGGTCGAAAGGACGCATATCGGAGAGAGAGAGAATTAATTGACACAATCCCAGAATCAGTCATTAATCCCAAGGTCGGCGAATCCCTTCAAGACCAGAGACCTGGTGCGACCTCATTACAGGCTCGGATTACAGGTCGGGATAAACCAACAATGTGATCGGATGAGCGTCATAAAGCCATTGTTTTCGGCCCGCTGTGAGGTGCTCCGATTGTGAGGAACTCGGACTGTGTGTCAACAATTACTGTTTGAATGGACGGTGACTGTGTGTATAACGAGTGACAGGTTTGCATAGGTAACGATGAGTGATTACGGTATTAATAAAATATCCTTAGTATTTATGGGGAAAATGCAAAACTTTCGGTAGTTGAAGTGCCGTGAGTTGGAGGATGACAACGGAATGAAATATCTTTATAGAACTGATCTCCCTCTCAGCAACAAAAACAAAACAGAAAAAACGGAAGTCTTCAAGACCAGTGTACTTACCGTCCGAGCTTTGTGATGATCATCTCAGTGCCGAACTTATCGAACTGCGCCCAGAGATTTTCGTTCTCCAGACGGGCTTTGATGCGGGGGTCGGGCTTTCCTCCTGGCAGCCCTGGGGTGGGGAATCCGCACTGTCCATGGGGCTTGAGGTAATCCCCTGGGAAGCCATGGGCCAAGTGAGTCTGGCTAGGGACACCGCCTGCAGGAACAAGGGGAATAGCTTTAATACACGGCACTGACGGGACAACATACTCAACTTTACAAGACAAAGCTTCTACCCACGTTATCTACGAGTTACGTGTATGCTGTTCATATTTACAACACTTTTTCTTGAGACACTGTAACTACTATATTACATCTATTTCAAGAGGCATCTCTCTGACTGTATCATGCACAGATGTGAAGCAGGCGACGGCGTGGCGTCGATAACCCTTCTCTGAGGGCGTGGCGCATCTTGGGGACTTACCGTGGAATCCTAGTCTGTATCTCTCGAGATGGTCTGTGAGGTTTGCTGGAAGTCCTCCTCCAAGGTATGGGTGGAGGCCGAGGGTGCCTGGAGGGGCCATGCCACGGCTACGTAGGTACAGTAGTTCCTCCTCGTACATTATTATGGATCTTTAGCACTGCACTGGATGTCCTTTTATCACTGATTACACTGCACTCAAGTCAGACTCAGAGCTAACTGTTAGATGGGTCGACTGTACGTACAAAACACGGGTGCTTGTCGAGAACTACCTAACGCTTGCCCGTGCCGTGGGTTTTGTATGTTGGCTGGCCACGCCCCCGCACCGCTCAGCCACTCACGCGCGAGCGCCAAATAGGGGGAGGAGCCTGTCCGACCGTCGCGGAAGGGGGCGGAGCACCGTCCACGCGGGCAGGGGAGAGCCGAGACCGCCCGCGACAATGTTTGTTTTTGACCCCCCATGGGAATTGTCCCTCACAGGTGTGGCCTATTAGTGAATGAGAAAATGCCAGGTTTTATGAAGGGCCGACCATTAAGATGAAAGATGGCAAAAGATAAGAGTCTGGACACGGTTGTGAACACCCCTCTCGATGGTAATGTGGCTTGACCCCCACCTACCTCGTCAACTGCCCCGCAGGAACATCAAGTTATAGGTTTAAAATATATGCATTTAAACACAGAAGTTTAAAACTGATGCAAAATATTGCTCTATCAGCAAAGAAGAGCAAGTCTGTGGTCATCACGTGACTTGCTTCCAAACAAGAATTAAAAATGAAATAATCTGACTTAATTAGAGGAGCTATATAAGACGTTTAGGAATCTCGAACGTATTATACAGCAGAGCAATTAAGCTATTTAACTCTTAAGTATTCAGGAGATGTGGAAGAAGACTGAGAGGATGAGCTCTGTCTACTCTGTGTGCATTTACTGAATATCTAATGTTCTTAGAGAGGAAAGGAGATAGATACAGACAGATAAATATATAGTAAGGCAGATGAAGAAAGAGAGGGAGAGAGAGAGAGAGAGAGAGAGAGAGAGAGAGAGAGAGAGAGAGAGAGAGAGAGAGAGAGAGAGAGAGAGAGAGAGAGAGAGAGAGAGAGAGAGTTAAATTTCCTCATCCATGAGTAAATGTTCTAATCGCTAAAGTAATTAAAAAATGCATAGTGAGCAACAACTGCTGAGAAATAAGGTAATAAAAGACGGTGTACATAACCCCAATATCCTTTTTTTAGGTGAAGTACAAGAACGCAGTCTGTCACGGTTCCTTGTAGGTCTTCCTGACACGAGCGGAAATGAAGTACGTTGGGGCAGCAAACCCCCCTTCCTCTCCCCTCCCCTTCCCTCCCTGTTAATAAAACCCCCCTCCTACTGCATAGAAGCCCCCTCCCCTCTCCTCCCCCTTCTCAGACCCCTTCTGCCTCCCCCCTTCCCTTCCCTCCCTCCGTGGAACCCCTTCTCTCCTTTCCTCCTCACCTTCCCTCCCCTCCCCTCTCTCTCTTCGCCCCTCTCTCTCCTCCCGTCTCTCATTTTCCATAGAACCCTCTCCCCTCCCCTTCCTCTTCCTCTTCTCTCCCCTTCCTCTTCATCGAACCCTCCCCCCCCCCCCTTCATCTTATAACCCTTCCTCATCTCCGTTCCATCAAACAACAGCACTGAGAAGGCTATCTATTATTTTGTTTGCGGCTGTATTTAGTGGAACCATTTCATTCATTCTCCCCCACGAGGCCGCTCTGTCATTGTGTGCTCGATCGCCTTTTGTGAGAGCTAAGTACCTTTTGTGTGTGGCCAACCTCACACCCCTCCCTCTCTCCTTCCCTCCCTCTCTCCATCTTTTCCCTTCCCCCCCTACTCTCCCCGGCCGTCTACCTCCTCCCCCCTCCCTTCCCTCCCCCCCTTCACCCCTACATCATCCCGACCATTCCCCTTCGTCGCTAATTGATGGGCCAGAAAGGGGGTCGTGGGGCGGGCGCCTTCGATGCTGTCCCTTTGTGGAATTTTATGAGCGATTATAGATTCATTAATGGCGTAGATTGTTATCAATTGTCGCGGATGATGGAGGGACTAGATGGGGGGGGAGAGGGGGAGGGGGAGAAGGGGTAAAGGAGAAGGAGAGGGAGAGAGAGAGCAAGGAAGAGAGAGGGAGAAAGGGAGAAGAGAGAGAGAGAGAGAGAGAGAGAGAGAGAGAGAGAGAGAGAGAGAGAGAGAGAGAGAGAGAGAGAGAGAGAGAGAGAGAGAGAGAGAAAGAGAGAGAGAATACAGTTAATATTTCGAACAAAAGTAATCAGACAACCGTAAACGAACTGCTTATTCCCAAAGCCACATTAAACAGAACAATTAACGGCACTTCAAAAACTATAATGAAATACTAACAATCTAAATACAATGTTAAACCGACCTCAAAAAAGTTACAGAACATTACACATCGCGCTGCACGTCCTAAGAAATCAGTGATTCTAGAAGTGGCATAATTTTGCCTAGAGACGGTTGGCAGGACATTTATCGTACTTGAAAGTGTCGGCAATACCCCCTCTCCACCCCCCTTTCTCCTTGAGATATCTCTCTCTATCGGCTCGAGATAAAGTAATAATTGATCTCGACCGCCGTAACGGTTTCCTCGTCAGCTGCATCTGATTTGTTGTCTTGCATCTTGCTCTGTTCTCTTATCAATAATGATTTCTCAGATTCTCCCGCGAGGCATCCCATATATATATATATATATATATATATATATATATATATATATATATATATATATATATATATATATATAAACACACACACACACTCACACACACATATATATATATTGTGTGTATGTGTGTGCGTGTATGTGTGTATGTGTGTATATATGTGCATACATAATTTCTCTTATTCCTTTTACCGCGGAGATAATAAAATGAACCATTTCCCCTTGACGTTTCTTTTCTCCGAAACCAAAAACGAAAACAGTAACAGCTCCTCCTTCGAATATTGAAAGAAAAAGAAAATGTACCGCGAAGCTCCCCGCCATAACTCTAGCGATGAGGCCGGTTTGTCTCCCGAGTCAGGTACGGGCGGCTAAGGGTGAGGACGAAACGCACTTTATGATCCTCTGTCATGTAATTATCTCCCTCCCCCACCCCTTCACGTCTCACGTCCATGAGTCTGTTTGTTTTATCTCCCATGGGACATCCGGGACTCGAAAGAGAAAGAAAGGGGGGGGGGCGAGAAAATAAAGGGAGGAGGACCCCTTTTGTGTGGCCTGCTTACTCCCCCCCTCCTCCTTCCTCCCTACTCAATGCCGATGCACACACGAACACCTGGATCAGTGTATACATGCATACACACGTGCCAGCCATAATTCTTATTTGAGAAAGACTTGCATACGAAGATCTAGAAGTTGTACAAGATGGTTTTAGGAAAATCCGGAGTCTTCTATCAAAAGAAAAAATACGGAAATAAAATTCATACGAAAACGTAAATATTAGTAAAAGAAATTAACTATTTTCATTCGATTCTTTAACATATTTTTTTCCTCTGAAAAGATTTTTGGTAAATCTTCAAACGCTCTTTCTCTCTCCTGCCGTACGTTTGTTGAACATACCGAAGGCGATGCGAGTGCAGATAGTGGACAAAATGTTCACAGCTCTGAACACTTGGTATAATATATAATGTTATTTATCATCTTAAGTAAATGCTAATAGGTATTTAGCGTTGGTTATTTCGGCAGTTACATTTCCCCGGGTGAGAGGTTCCGCCATGAACACCAATTTGAGGTTGGAGGGACGAATGTTGTGGAATACACAAGTGCAAGCGCAATCTCCAGGGGCGTTCGCAAAGCTGATATTTTCCCCCGTCATTTCACACGCAGTTTAACCCATCATTCCCTGACAGGTGGAGTAGTGAGGGAAGGAGGATGATAAATAATAACCTGCTAATACTGTTGAAATTCGGGAATATTCTGTTACCCAAGACAGACGGTCAGGATAGTACACCAAAAGCCGCTGCAGCTCAAGAAGTGAGATTCACTGTCGTCTCCACTGGCGTAATTTTTTTACCCATTCCCCTCCTAATAAATTTCCTAGTACTTTTATCTCCGATGATTCTGCAAGAACCAAACTGCAAGAATAAATTTGAAAGTCGGAACAGAACGACCGCCTTTTTAGTGCGTTTGTTTCCGGTCTCGACAACATGCTTAACAGTTAAAGGATTGCCTCCGTTGCCAAGAAGCGGTCCTTGCGTCCTGTTTTCTGGCGACTGCGCATCCCTGGTCCGGATAATTAATGGCATGCAAATGATCGATATATGCAAATGATCTCGTGGCTATGATCCTCGCGGCGATATCTGAAAACCAAAGTGAACTTGATGAACTGTGACTTATTCAGCCAATGCGTTATCTTTATTTTCGCTGATGTGAATGGTGGCCGCTTTGTTAAGTGGTGCATAACAGAGTCGTTTGCGAGAGACTTATTATATGAGGAGGCGAACCGATTCATTTCGGAAGATGTAAAGAATATCTTGAGCAGAACAACTGTTTCTATATTTTTTTCTAAAAGAATTGTTTAATAGTGAAGATGCCACCGTAAAAAATCTCAGATGCTCTTAGTTTAAACTATTCTTTATAGGTATTTCGAACGTGGAATTTTTAAATGATAGAATTGATATACAAATACGCGTTCAGGAAGTGACACAAATACCATTTTCTTACAAGGTCAAAAATAAGTCCCATAACCTCGTAACTTCATGGAAATAACTTGATAAAAGTAACATTCATTCATGCTTAATCTAATCACATAAAAAAAGGAATCAACCATGTTAATCAATAAACCGGAAAAGAAGATCAATTAAGGCCCGTGCATGATGAATCAGGTGGATGCAGGTGGAGGCAGCGGCGACCTGACGGCACAGCGGGTCATCCAGACAGTGCTCCGCCCCGTCTGTCCTACCGCCCCGCCCCCCCAGCCAAGACGTCCAGCGACTATGATAACTTGTATACAATTTCAGAGGGAAAAGAATATGAGAATATAGGAAAAGAGATAGAATAAAGATGAAAAATAGGTTACGGAAGATAAGGAGAGAAGGAAAGAAGAAAGCAGAGGAGAAGGAAAGGCCGGTCGAGCAGATGACACCCCTGGCTCGGGAGTCGAGACGCTGCCCCGCCCCGTCTGCCGAGACCGAGGGACGAGTAGCAAGCTGGCGGAGAGGAACACCTAAAGGATCTTAATAAAAAAAAATGTGTGTATAGATGTGAGTTTTGTTTGTGTATATGTGATGGGAAAATATATTCATGTTTTGAAACTATATTCGTATTAAGTAATGTCTTTTTTTCTATTTTGGTTTTGTTTATATGCTTTTACAACTCTGGTTTGGAGGGTAGTCGTTTTTTTTACGCGAAACATTTTTTTTTCCATAATCATTAAAATCTTTTTCTTAATAATTTTTTGCAAAGGGAATCAAACACGGCAACTTCAACTCGCATCACGTTCCTTGTAGAATTATCCCAGCAACTAATTTACTTCGTTATCTTAAATATGATAATAAACAATTTCAAACACACGCATAGCCTCTCCTCTCAAGCCCTCGCAACGTGATTCAAAGGCTCAGTTTCCTCTATTCTATAATTAAAACTAAGAATCACAAATCCTAAAGTTTCAGTCTCCCATCATTCTAAACCCAAAACGCGCCAAAGGAAACTACTGAAAGAACTAAAGGGCAAAGGCTTCGCAAGGCTTCACCGGCAGCCGATTGGTAACTAATGGCGGACAGTTAGCAAAACAGCACTAACTAATACACAGGTGATCGAAGGTTGAGCGAGAAGAGGGCTTGGGCAGGTGTGAGCCCATGTGGGTAATGGCGGTATGGTGCCCGGGCATACAGATGATGCAAGGTTGAAATCGCCGCGAAATAATAACATGCAGAGGGCAGACAGAGGAAATAGCGTTGCGACATAGAAAAGGACTGCTATAAATCGTAGCTCCGGACGCGAGCAGGTAACAGAGACCCGCGCGTGTACATGATATTTGTTGAAGAGAAGAAACGGTGTTATGCTAATGGCTTCTATAGTTCCACCATCATTATGTTGTATTTTAGTTTTAATTATTGATAATCATCTTTAAGTGTATACATCGCTAATGATAATGATGACGTCATATAGGTACGCTGAGTGAGGGAGACGGGTGAGACAGCTAGGGTCATAAAAGGTCAGGCAACGCTGTCGTACAAAGTTAACAATAGATTCTACTATGAATACTTTTATAAACACCTTTTCAATCACTACCAATAGCATGTTTGCAAACCGAAATGAAAACAATTTGATAATAATAAAAATAACATAATATCAGTTTCGACCATGAAAAAAACAAAGGGAAGTCACGAGGAAGACGCCCGAACACAATCACCATTAAGATACCAAGAAGCCTCATCCGAAACCCATCACCAAAGACAAAGGCAATCTTAATCATACAAAACATACAAAGACGAACGGCCGGTGCATCAGATAGCGATCCTTAAACAAACACCAACACCCAAGGGTCTAAAATCCACAATGATAATGACCTCCTACTCCGCTTGAGAGGTCAGGCTGGGTCACTCCAATTACATCAGTCAGGTCAAGGAGGCCACCGATTGTTCAAGGATTATACCGGATTTTATTATGTGTAATGCACCTTTGTTTGCTTAAGGGATTAATTCGTGGGATTAACGTTAATCACATAAAGGTTTGTTTGTTTAGTAGGGAACATGGAAGCTTATGCGAGAGAGAGAGCCTAGGATATTTATTTTTTATCAGTTACTCTAATTGACATAATGTGTATTCATATCTCGCGAAGATACCCCGCACTAACTCGTCTTCAACTTTAAAAAATATTACAAAAAAACGAAAAAAACAAGGAAATATGACCCACGCTCAAACATAATGTACCAAAACACATAAACCTATTTCTGACCCAAAACAAAACACCACCAAAGCACCCATGTAACAAAATACAAATAGGCCTATGCTGCCCTAAAGCCAAGTCCCGTGTAGCGAAACATACATAGGTTTATTCAGCCTCAAAACAAAAATCCTCGTAAAAAAACATAGACCTATGCTAACCCAAAGCAAAATACCAAATAAAAAAAACACACATAGACCTATGCTGACCCAAAACAATAGAGCACGTAACAAAACCCACATAGGCCTGCCCCGCCGTCGTGTGCCAACCGGAGCAGACGGGGCGGGGTTGTTTGTCGTCTCTGGCGCCGGGGCGGAGTTCACACCTCCATGTGACACCTCCTCCCCTTTACACACTTTTTTCTATATATTTTGCCACCTGCATATACGTATGTTTTAGTTTGCAAACTGAAATGTTGTTGTTTTGCTTTTTTGTTATTGATGTTTGTTATATTAGAGTGTGTATGTGTAATAGCATTATTAGACCTTTCTTATTCTGTTGTTAAAGAGAGCGATGACCTAACGTGACCTCGTAGTGAATGACAGCTGAGTACCCAGCTTATTATACACTACGCTCTATGTAAACAGAGGAGGGAATTACCTCTGTGATAACAAGGATAATTATGAGATGTTAATTACTTACGCAAACTAATACCCATTGTTGCTTAGAAATGTAATGAACCTATAAAAGATGTAGCGCGTATAAATATTTTTCATATATACAGCGTCTTCTTCTGATTAATATGTTTTACCATAACATAGCGTGAAATATATTTGGCTGATGTTGATCCTTAGAAGCAAAAAATTCCGTAACTGATCGAGATTACATTTATATTAAATGATGAATATAATGATACGATATAAAATATATAAATGGCATGGGTATTATATAAATTCGATTTAGGCTTTCAGTATTTACTGATGCTGGTATTACTGTTGCTAATAATGCCAGTGTCAATAATGATATAGTGTGAAATTTGCATATTTAATTATTGCATTGCATATAGTACTACAAGATATATTAATTTTTTATCGATAAAGGCAAGTACTAATTTATTTTCATTGTATGCAATTTTGTAACATATGATACCTACATATAAAATCTACATTATTCATGTCGTTTAATCATTATAGTAGTCGTATTACTGTATGTGTGTGTGTGTGTGTGTGTGTGTGTGTGTGTGTGTGTGTGTGTGTGTGTGTGTGTGTGTGTGTGTGTGTGTGTGTGTGTCTGTGTGTTTGTGTGATATACATATATACATATATATATATATATATATATATATATATATATATATATATATATATATATATATATATATATATATGTATAGATACACACACACGTCTATGTGCGCACACATACATACGTACGTACTTTACTATACTATACCACACACACACACACACACACA